TGAAATTTTAATTATATAGGATGGTATATATTTATTTAATGTCCTATGAAATTAATAATGGCTAAAAATAATTAAATAAGGCTTTAGGGATTTTTCTAGAATTTTCTAGAATTTTTTGGGATTTTTCTGTAATTTTCGGCGAGACTCCGGCGAGATTTCCGGCCACCGGCAACGAGGAAGGTGACCGGAGTGATCCCATGTGGTGCGGCGCACAAGGCTTACTATGCGCGCGCATCAGTAGCGGTTAGATTAGATTTTAAATCACAGATCGATTCAGTGTAGCGTAGCACACAATAGTATGGTGCACGCAAGTCAGGAGCCGTTGGATTAAAGGATGAGCCTTGGATCAATCCAGTGTAGCGCGCCCACATAGAAACGGTACAACCGACCAACCAGCACACGCCGCGTCATCAGGATGCATTAGTGCGCGCGTGGCAGCGCGTGCGCGCGCGTGGGACTCTCCAGACGCGCGTGGGAGCGCGTAGCTGATGCCAGACGCGCGTGGAGGCGCGTGGGAGAGTGGGAAAGCTTGGCGGCGCGTGTGGGGAGCTCTGGGAGGCGCGTGGGGGCGTGTGAGGGACCCCTACAGCTACTGGAAAAGTCCAGAATACCCCTAGGGACTGTTTTGTAAATTCCAGAACCTTAAACTTGGATTTTTAGGTACTGTGTTGGTATTTACGGGTTTAACGGGCCACGAAATTATTATTTTAACACCCGTTACTTATTCTTATGGCCGATTAATCTTTTCTAAGCATTTATTGGCTCGTTTACAGTACGGATACTAATGTGATTTATTTAACGACATTGTTAAATATAAATAGTGTTTCAGATAAATTATCCATGATATTTTATGGGATGTTTATACTGTTAAATGATATATAAACCATGATTATTATGCTGTGTGCATTTCAGGAAATAAATGGACTGTTTAATTATATCGCATTTATATTATATGGATGTGTTGCCATATAGAACCATATGAGCTGGCTAATAAGTTTAGACTCATTTATACCTTATGCATTCGTTGCGATAGACAGATGTGTGGCTGTCGGGGTATGTGGTTTAATATTATTGGCATGTGTTGCCCAATTGACATACTCGGTATATTTATTAATATTACTGGCATGTGTTGCCTAATTTGTATGCTCAGTATATTCATCAGTACTTTGAGAGGTGTTAACACTGTGTAGTTCGTTATAGTCTGTGTTGTCAGTACCGTGCACCATGTATAATAGTTGATTTCCCGGGTAGGGAAAGGCGACACTTAACCACCTAGTGTGAGTCTAAGTGATCACCGTCTATTCTGGTTGAGGTCATGTTATACATTTGATAGTTCCCTTAGGATGTATACAGATATAGTACTCAACCGATTCATAATGATTAATTTATTTGATTCTCTGATTTGGGTCATAGTAGAGAGGACTTGCTCGTGGGGTTGACCCACCATTGTTGTTATTTCAGGATACGGTCAGTATCCGTTTCAAGGTTGAGGTTAGCAGTGTGGGACCACCATCCGAACTCATCTACTCTTACGATCCAGTTCAGGGTAGAAGTTTTATATATTACTTCAGTTTCAGTTTTTATTTACTTTTGATGTTAAACTCTCAGGGTTATATTTAGGGATCCTTGACATAGGATTTCCAAGTTGTAATGAAGTACGGTATTAAATAAAGGATGGATGGATGTTGTATTATTTAGTGTTCCTTTCCTGTCTAAATTCTTTTATTATCATCATTTTTGTATTCCATGCTTGTATATTGCCAATTGTTTTTGATATCCCTCGTTTTTCGTGTATAAGCCTGATCAACTTATGCGTGGAAAATGTGGGAGTGTTACATGACATGTCATGTCCTCAATATGCAATTTATACACAAAGTAAGAATATTTTACAACAATTGAGCCAAACTAACATTCTAAGCCACAAGTACTAAATAAGTTACAATTTAGTAACAAGCTTTCAATGTAATCAATTGTAATATTCTAAACAAGCTATATACCTACACAAGATATATTTAAATAAGCTTTACAAGAAAATGATATTCTATATCATGCTAAGTCCAATTACCATTTTAAGATGCCACAAGTATGAATTCTACATCTAATTAGTAATATGCTTACAAGGTAATTTATTGTACTATATTTCATGAGATTATCACCTTAACATGAAAAGTCTCTAGATTTTAAATCAATTCCAAATAGGCTCAAATTAATATATGTTAAAGGTCATAACATGGTCTTCACATATATCATACCCAATATCAATTTAAGTGACTACAACACTTAAAATAAAATTAATTAAGCTAATTAATTCATTTGCTCTAGATTTTTAAAAAACTCCAAATGTCCTCAAATTAAAATAGGTTAAAGAACACACCAATGCCTACTTTAATATCAAATTACAAGTTGATTTCATACTTGTTATAACTATGTGAATTAAACTTTCATAAAAGATAATTATTAAATAAAATTTGTAATTTTTATTCAAATGCTCCCAATTTAATATATGTTGATAAACATACCAAGGCCTAATTTACTAGCATGCCATAATTTAATTCAAAACTATACACAACCATATGAATTAAATCTTAAACATAGAAAATAATTAAATTAAATTTTAAAACTTGAACAAAGGCATGCATACAAGTTGTATATGCTTATAAAACAATCAATACAACATTCATATAAACCTAAGGCATCCCCTACCTCAATTTGAGATGAAATCTCAAATCCCCACCGAAATGAAACCACTTCGAATCCGATGAAACTTTGGGGTTTTATCGGGGACAACAAAGTGATCATTAAACCCCAAGGGAGTTACACCAAAATCCAAACTTGGCTTCAAACCCGAACTCAAAAAATGGCCAAAACGAGATTCCAATCGGTTGGAATCGAAGGCCTCGCCAAGGCGAATATTAAACACCAAGGCATCACCACTTTTTAATAAAGGGAAGAAATCCAAAAGAAGAGAGAGAAGATGGCCACCATGGGAGGAGCTTTGACCGGCCAAGAGAGGGGAAAGAGATGAAAATATCTCATTTTTCATTTTATAGACCCCTATTTATAGAAAAACCCTAAAAGTGCCCCGAACAGGCCCCGACGGGTCCGAAAAAGTGGAATTTGAGATGACGCGCTCAAACGACAAAACTCTGTGAATGAAAAAGAATTAAAATGAGAAAATATGATCAACGGAAGAAATGGCTTTGAAAACCAAGTCCCAAGCAGAGAGATATGCCCCAAACAAATTTGGCGCTAACCGGGGCTAAAAACCCAAAAACTATAGGGTTTGACCGCAAGACAATTCCAAGAGTATACGACTCGACGAAATGTGAAAATGAATCTCGTACAGGGATTCAAGCCCCAAGGAGACACTTAGTAATTAACTTTCATTAATTGTACAAAGGCCCCTACACAAAAGGATAACTGCGCAAGTGACCCTTAATGAAAATATCTTCCAAAAAGATATTTTCTTAGAAACCCCTAAACCAAAATATCTTCAAAAGATATTTATGAAAAACACCCAAGAAATAAAATGTTTCTGAAGATTCTTTTCATCCACGCCACTACGGGAAAAAGAAACAACGGGCGAGCTTTTTTTAAAAAGTAAAGTTACACCTTTCAAGGAAACCAACAAGAATAGAAGTTCAAGAAGTCAAAAACCAACTCCTAGCACGAAGAGTAAGGTTGCGTGAAAGGAAATTTCAATGAAAAAAATTAATCCGAAAAAATTGAGGAAAAGAAAAGAAAGAAAAATGACCGGGTCATTACCATCATGTTGTAATTAACAAGATAAACAAATCTCACTGATGAATTCATATTTCTTACATAATTTACCCCTAAATTTATATTTGTTAGTATTTTATTTATATTTATTTTAGTTATTTAGTTGATTTTTATAAAAGATTGGTTTATTTGTATTGTGCACAAAAAAAATTAAAAAAGATTAATTAGAAGGAAATTGGTAGACAAGTGAAAGTTGACTACACGTTGTAAGAGTATAGATAAATTTTCAGTCAACTTATAACACAAGAAGTGCGCCAGCAAAGATGGTTGAGTGCTTAGCCTATTTCTTCAAAGTTTCAAGTTCAAATCTAAAGAGCAGCATATTTTGTATTTATTTGGGTCCGCCATTCACCGCGTCATCATCAGTCGGGTCCTCCCACTGCCACATCATCATTCGGGAAAGAAGTAGATTGGGAATTTGTGGGCAAAAAAGGAAGAAATAAAGAAAGGAAGAAAAGTGATGAAATGGAAAAATGCAATTAATCTCTTGAAGGGTTCCGGCCATTTAATGCAAGGCAGAAAAATTAGGAGGAGCAAAATCAGGCACAATGAAGATATTAAACAATGGAAAGAATCAATAAAGATATTAAAGAATGGAAAGAATCAAAGTAAAATATTGCTTTGGAAATTTCCGCAGAATAATCAGGAGGAGCAAAATCAGGCACAATGAAGATATTAAAGAATGGAAGGAATCAAGGAAAATATTGGCCTTGCTTGGATTGCATTTTAGAGAATTGTTTTTGAGAACAGTTCTCAAGAATAGTTTTTAGAGAACAGTTTTCAGTTTTTTCAGATTTCAAACCTGATTGGTTAAGAGAATTTACAAAACAGTTTCCAAAAAACAAAAACTCATAAAACTACTGGGTTGTATGAGTTTTTGAAAATAGTTTTCTAAACTAAGAAAATAAATAAAAATATTATTGTACCTCATTTTTTTATTTCTTTAATTTATGATCTTAACTATTAATGTAAATAAGTGTTGAAGGTAAATAAGTGTCGAAGGTAAATTCATTTTAGCTAGTATTCTTAACTTAATAAGAATTACACAAATACATATATTAAGTTTAATTACAATCCTCTTTCTGCATAACTCCAAAATAGAGGTTTTGTTTGGTGCTTATATTTTGTTTCCCCTTCATGGGACTCCACGTACATTCTTCCTAAATTGAAATACAATAAAAGAGTTACATGAAACATTATAAATTAAACATAATAAAAAGTACACCAAAACAAAGTTTTCATAACATAAAACATAATAAATTATCCCACACACGAATATAACATAAAGTCACATGCATATGGGGAAAAAAAAACAAAATAAGGCATAAGGAAATTGTTCAATAACACATAAAACCAAATATGTGTTTCAAGTCACATGTAACCAAAAACTAAACCCTACATTCAGTAACCACTCAAGTCAGTCCAAGCTCTTCAACCAAGCAAACTTCAAGTTAGTCCAAGCTCTTCAACCAAGCAAACTTCCTAGAAATACCCATCTTAATGAACAATTCTCTATAGTGCAATTCCTTGAACTTTTCAGTTGCCTTCAAATATGTGACATCATCTATCTTATCAAGACCCTCAAGGCATTCAATACAATTACTTAGAGAGTATGCGTCTGGGCTAGTTGCCTTTTGAGTATGTTTCATTTTCTTATATGTCTCTGCCTTAGCTAATGAAGCTTCAGTCCTTGCTTTGGAAGCTTCAACAATACAAGTAAGAGTATCACTAATGGAATCTTTTTTACGCTCCTTTTTTTGCACGACGATCAGAGGATGTGGATTTACGACGACGAAGATTATTGTCTTCAACTAGAATATTATCTGAATCATCTTGACCTTCAACAGTTGAACTAAAATGGACACCTGTATTCATAAATTGATCCTCCTGCTCTCGTTCTTCATCTATATTAGGTGGATCTTGAGTGGATGCATAGTGAAGTTACCTAGTAACAGTCGACGTATTAAAAAGAACTCCCAAAAGTTTGTAATTTTCACAACCTTTTTTGCGAAAACACTTAGCATTGGGATGAGCCTGAAAAATATATATATATATATATATATATATATATATATATATAAAGATTGTTAGGAATAACCATGTTCAAAAATTAAACTAACTATTGTAAAATAATTAATTAAATACAAATTTTACCCGCAAATATGTTTGTCAAGTTTCTTCATCAGCAGTCACAGTGTTTGTTTCCACATCCCAACCAAACCCAGTTGTCTCATTTAGAAGAGTTGAAAACTCATGATGCTTTGTACGTAATCAATTAAAATTTTCCTTTAGTTGCTTCACATTATAAGCGTGATTAGTCTTGTTTTTGAACTCCTTCGCAATCTTTTTCTAACACTTGGAAGTAAATATCCCAGATGGCATGTTCCCCTTGTTGACATCCTCAACCATTATATCAACAAAACATCTTTCTAATTCTGTAGACCACAGAGCTGACTCCTCAACATCAGCAATTTGAGATGCCATCCTTTATTTGTGCATTAGGCAAAGAATTACAAGCAATAAAAGATTTTCACACAACTCAAATATATATCAGACCCATAAAGTTAATCCACCTCTGAACATAATTTCTAATCCAAATTGATAATGCTAATCCAATAGTTAAGAATCAAACAAGTTTTAAATATTTAGAAACACCAGTAAAATATTTAGAAGCTGTACACACACCATTCCAGTCACTGATTTAATTATAGCCTCAATTTCACACATGTATGATGAGATTCGACCACAATGATGCTGGGAGGTCGGCTTGCTCCACCCAATCTTCATGTTCAGTATAGCTCTATATAAATTATTTCTAGATGGGAATTAATGGACCATACATGTGTTGGTAATTAACATACTTTATAACTAAACTATATAATATATGTGTGTGTGTGTGTGTGTGTGTGTGTATTATAATATAGGGTGATGATTAAGTATGTCTATTTAACTATATGATTTAAATTATACTCAATCTTCATGTACTCAATTATGATTTAAATTAAAGACTATGTAGTAAAAAGTGATTTTCACCTATTTCTAAAATAGGGAGCTCTTATCTACTATCAAATTTGATCTTTTAATTAATTTTCACAAGTGAAAGATTGAGGTGTCCAATTTGGGTTTGGGTGTTGAACACATATCCATACCATGTTGTGATGTATTGATACGAGTACGTAAAGGGAGGTAAGAGGGTACATGTAACTCTGGATTTCAGTTGATTGTAGTACTTACTTTTGAAGGTCACCCACAGGATTTTCATGGTTAAGGATTTTTCAGTCAGCCTTAGCTGACAGGATTGAGGCAGCTTTCCTAGCAGAGCTAATCCCAATCAGATCTTCCCTTTAGGTCTTACTCATATTGTTCCAATAAAAAAAACTGACTTTTCCTTTTGTCAAGATATTATTAAATTGAAGAGACTTCCCTAATAAGTTTAACATCTATATAGTGTATTTCAAAAGGGCTGAGGTTACAACTCGAACAAGGTCAAAGCTGTTGGAAGCACTTTGGATAAGATCATAAATATGATGTTGCAAAGAGAGATCTAGAATGGGTGATGGTTTCACAACTATCAATTTTAGGGATCAAGATGGAGAATTCAGTTGTTATCTCTGAAATTTCTAGTTGAGATTGCTTAACTGATCTTGCTATGGATTATTTTGCAATAAACATTTGAAAGAAAAAAGGTCAGGAAACCATCAGGGACCAAAGTTCAGTTATAGGCAGGGATTGTCAATTGATATGTCATTGCTAAACTGGTTGCTGAAGTCCTCCTGAACATGGTTTTTGAGAACAACGTGATCAGAAGTCCAATTGCCTTTAGGGTCCTTTAAAGTTTTCACTTTATTTTCCCTTCTGCTGCTAATGATTTTCGAAATAGACACCTCCTGTTTTACTCCCCAAAAGTGATCCACATTACTCTGGACCTTTGAAGTCAGTTCATTTCTTCTTATTAGGGGATCTTACTATAAGATTGCCATGAAGTCTGTGTCTTTTTCCAAAAAGATTTTAAGGAAGTCTAAATAACTTAAAACCTAGTAGTGATTCTTCTCTTGTTTCTGAAAGAATTACCAAAATCATTTTTGTTCCATTCCTTCACTGCCTTCAGAAAGAAATAAGAAGCTACTACTGAATCATTGAGGATTTTGGGAGTTCTGTTGCCAGGCTTTCTCAAGGATTCCTTCAAATTGTTCATAGGCTGTCCAGAAAATTTGGGCTGAAAGGAATTTTTGTACTAGACATACTTGACAGTTGATGAAAAGAGGGTTAGGGCTTAATGAGTATACCCAGGCAAAGGATTATGAGTATTTTAGTATTGTTATGTTTAGGATATGGATTGCCGATGACATTGAAAATGAAAGTAGGATGAAGATTTTTTTTTTTTTTATAAGTGAAAATTGGATGAAGATAGAAGCAATTAGGAAAAAAAAAATTGCAAAGATTTAAGGTAGGCTTTAGATATGCATGTTGGTGATAGAACACTATAATTTGTGCATTTGTCTATTCTATTTTTTGAGGAGTACAAGTAGGCATCTCTATTAAAATTGCAGTCCTGAACTTGCATAAGTTTTGACTCCGATAAGAGATACTCTTAATCAACAGTATTGGACTGTCGAGGCAGACTATTTTTGGTCAAAATGCTCAAATTAGAGGAGACATGCATGTTGGTGAAGAAAATCTATCACTGGGTGGGTGAACCGAACCCAAGAATGACCATATATATATATGTAGACCAATATATACATACACATATATATATTGAAAATCAAATCCCTAAATTGAAAATCAAATCCCTAAACTAAAAACCATAAATCCCTAAACTAAATATCAAATCCACAACAAAACTCACCCAACCAACAAAATCAATAATCAAATCTGCAACCAAACTCATCCAAAAAACAAAATCCATAACCAAAAACTTGCTACAGAAAAATACCAGATTTGTGTTTACCTGAACAGATGGAGCTTGAAAAAATCTAAGCAAGAGTGTGGATGCAGAGGAGAGAAGTACAGTGTTACAAAGCGATCTTATAGAGAGAAGCGGTAGATAGGAGCAGGATGCCGGTTTCAGATGAGGTGTTGCAGAGCTTCATCGTGAAGGAGCGAGATACTGGTTTCAACTTGCACAAAACTGTTATAAATAAGGATTATAAAAACGTACGGGCCGCTTTTTTAAGTGGAGAACAGTGTTCTCCGTATGTTCTCAAAAACAAGGTAAACAACTCTGAGTTGTTCTTAGAAAACTGTTACTCTAAGAACTCAGTTTTGAAAAAACTATTTTTATAATATAATTCCAAGCAGGCCAATTTTTTGAAGAACTGTTTTGGGAGAACCATTCCAAGCAGGGCCATTGCTTCAGGATTTTCAGCTATAAATTTCCATAAAAGACTAAGATTTTGAGAGAGGGGAGCCACGGATTGGAGCACAACAGAAGGGGTTTTTGATAAGTGCTTAAATGTTGCACATTTCAGCACCTAAGTTAGGGCAATCTTTGCATCTATCTTAATTTCATGTTTTAGTTCTAATTTATGTTTATCTGTATTTCAGGGTAATAAAGTTAAAATGAGCTAATTTTGGTTCACTAAAGCCTTTTTAGAGTTATGCAAATATATTCAGAAAAAGTTCAGAAAATGACAAAAAGGAGGTCGTAGCCCATTGCTCGTATAGTATGTTTATTCTTCAAAAGCGGTCAATCTCAGGCCTTTGATGATGTTCCCAAAGATGAAGAAGCAAACCAATAAGCTCAGGGTCAAAATGGAGCTAAATATGGCTTAAAGGAAATTTCCAACTCTTGGGGGATCGATCCCCCAGGGTGGGGGATCGATCCTCCAGGACTTGGCAACATTATAGGATTTTCTTACTATTTGGGCTTATTTTGTGAACTATTGGGCTTATTTTGTGAACTATTGGGCTTTAATAGGGTTATTACTTACGGCCCAGTGAGCCATTAGTTTAGGGTTAGTTTTTATTTTATTGAGGTAGAGATTATTATTTTAATGATTAAGTTTTATATTCTGTACCGATATCACGTTCTCTCGAAAAACAAGCGAAAGAGGAGAAAAAGCAAGAACAGGCTAGGGTTTTGAGAAGAAGCTTAGAGATGATGAAGTAGATGATGGAACTTGTTGATACCTTGAGTCCATCAACTATGAGCGGCTAAATCTTCTACTTAGGGTTGGATAAACTCTAAGCATGTAACCTAATCTCTCTCTCTTTTAACTTTTTGGGGATTTATTTGTGTAATTTTTGTATAGCCTTGAAATATAAATTAATTCTTTCATTTGATTATCTATGTCAATTTCATATTGTCTTATATGTTTTTTATTGATAATTAATCTCTACACTTGATTTCTTTGTGAATTGAATCTTGTGATGGCTATGTATTGTGTTAATTAGATGTAATTGTGTTTTAATTTGATGAAATTTTCTTCTACTAGATGGGTTGTACTACATAGTTAATTTAATTAGGTTAAATTCTTGTTGAATTTAGTTAATTTCAGGCTTAATTAGTTTAATTGCACTTTCATTCTTAGGTAAGTAGACAATCCATGCTTGTGTTTGATTTCCATGCTTGTTGCCACAATTTACATTATCATCTAGATTAATGTGAGTTGAAATTGCTAACTGAATTGATAGACCATGCTTTGAATTGGTGAATTGATTTACATTTAGTTAATTGTCATTAGGTAAATGATTCAAGCTTTAAATTGATGTTTCATACTTTTCATTGCAATTGTTAGCCACATTTAGATTATACATTTTATTTCCCCAATTAGTTGAAAGTTAGTGAGTTAGGAAATATGCTTAGTGGTGAATCCTACACCCTAAGTCTCTTCCCAATCTCTTAAACTCTATTTATTTTATTGAAATCATTTAGCTTAAAATTAGTCTAATCATAAACAAAACCCTTTTTTGCAATCACATAAGCACTAAAGTAAAATTCAATTATGAAAAACCTATAATTGTTTAGATCTCTTGGGACAATCCCTGCTCACTTCATACTCCATAGTAGAAGTGTTTAGTGGCTTTATAAATTTTTAAATATGGTGCCCACTTGACATTATTTCTAAACCTAAAGTGTTGTGCATTATTTTGTGCACACACTCGGTCGCGCCATAGTTTTAGCGCCGTTGCCGGGGATCTAACGGTTTTAAAGAATTGAATTAGACATTAGTTCTTTGTTGATTATTTACTTTTAAGTCATTTTAATTTTTTTTATTTCCTCATTTGATTTGTCAATTAGGTACTTGAAGGAAAGTGGAGCAAACGCTGGACTTAGAAGCAATTAAAAAAAATTTGAAGTTGCTTAAGAACCATTTGTAAATTTCTCTTTAATTTTTGTGCTTAATTGTTTACTGTCTTACATGCTTTGGACAGCCCAAGTGGAGGCTTAATTTGAATTGTTTTAAGTCCAAGTATACCTTCTTGTAGAAGGCATCGGCCCGTGTGGAGGCATTTATTTGTTTTAAGTGCATTGATATTATTGAGGAGTTTGGGAACATCGTATGTGGAGGTTAAAATTTTGAAGTGTTGGTGTGTTGACTTATTCTAGTGCATGTGTGGTCGTAGATCACTTAATCGTCCTCTTGTTCCTGTAAATCAAAATCTCAAAGTTTTGCTTCGGCGTTTAAGAGGTAGTACTAGGAATAGTCATCCTAATCTTCTAAATTTTGATTTTCCATCACATTTAATGGAAGACCCAATAGATCCAATTGAAGATCCCATTGTAGATCTTGGTCATGTGGATCATAACGGTGTGCACCACCCACCAAAAGTTCATATTGTGGATCCTCAAGGTGTGCATCCACCCTTGGGAATGCCACAACCAGTTAATCATGCGGTGCAACAACCTAATCTAGGGATACCAAGGCCAAATGTTGTTCCCCCAATTGGTGAGCAACAACAACAATATGTTCAAATGGCATACCCTCAACAAGGTCAAATGGCATACAATCAGTAAGGTCAAATGCCATATCCTCCTCTCAATCCTCTAATGGTCCTTAGGGATCGTTACACTCCAAATCAATATAATGCACCCACTTGCATTCAATTGCCAAATTTCCGTGTTCATCATTATGAGATTAAGGCTTCCACCATTAACATGTGCCCCCTTTTCTATGGGTTGAGCAATGAAGAGCCTTATAAACATTTAGATGAGTTCTTGGAAGTTTTTTCCACCGTGAAAATCTCGGATGTTCCAGAAGAAGTCCTTAAAATGAAGCTTTTCCCTTTCACTCTTCGGGATAAAGCTATATATTGGTTTAACAACTTGCGGCCAAATACAATCACCTCTTGGGCATAATTGCAACAAGAGTTCCTAAAGAAGTATTACCCCGCAAGTCGAACCGATGCCATGAGAACTTCCATTCGTGAATTTAAACAACAAGAAGGAGAACCCCTTTATGAAGCATGGGAACGGTTGAATGACTTGCTACTGAAGTGTCCACATCATTACATTCCTAAGTGGCAATTAGTTCAATGTTTCTTCTCAAGTTTATCCGATGCCAATAAGGGCATTGTTGATGCTTCTTGTGGTGGAAGCTACATAGAAAGAAATGAAGATGAAATTTGGTTTCTTTTCGAAAAAATGAGTGAAAAGTCAATGCATAGATCTTCATCTTCTATGCATAGATCTGCATAGGTCTCTTAGCAAATATGGGAGGCAAGAAAGCTCTAAATCAAATAGAGTCTTCCATGGAAATTGCCGCCGAGATCAAAAATCTTACTCAAAGATTTGATAAATTCCTTTTGAATCAAGGTCCAGCAATTCAATCTTATTCTCATCCTTCCAATGAAATGTGCATGACTTGTTCTAGTTACACTCACCATACTTTAAATTGCCCTCTTGGACAAGTCATACCAAGTGAGTCTCAAGAACAAGCAAATGCATTTTTCATTCATCAAGGGAACAACCCTTATTCCAATACTTACAATCCGGGGTGGAAAAATCATCCTAACTTTGCATGGAAAAATCAAGGAGACGGTGCAAACCCTCCTTAAAATCAAGGTTACCAAGCAAAGTATGTTCCCCCACATCTCCAAAATCAAAATCAGAATTCTCAAGGTTACCGTCCTTCATTCTATCCTCAGAATGTGAATCAATACTCTCAACCTCAAGCATCAAATTCTCAATCCTATTCTCAACCTCAAGCATCAAATTCTCAATCTTACTCTGATCCAAATCAAGCGCCTCCTAAAAGTTCCGCTTTTGAGGACAAGGTCTTGCAAGCCTTAGGTGATCTTCGAAAAGATAATCAATTGTTTCATTCTCACTCTCAATCAATTGCAAAGCTTGAAGCTCAAATCGAGCAATTAGCTAATTCTTTAAATGTGATAGAGAAATGTAAGTTGCCTAGTCAAACTGAGACCAATCCTAAGGGGCAATTTATGGCACAAGCAAGTCCTTCATCAGAATTTTCTGGAAATGAGCAAGTTCAAGCAATTACTACCTTGAGGAGTGGTAGGAAAGTGGATAATAAGGTAGAGGTACCTAAGGAGGATTGTGAACTGAAGCAACTAAGTGGTAGCATCCGTCCCATTCCAAATCCTATTCCTATTTCTTTGGATGCTAGTGGTTCCAAAATGGACATTCCATCATCTTCATCATCATCTCCCCAATTAAAGAAGCCTTATGAGCCAAAAGCTCCATTTCCTCAAGCTTTGAGAGAGACTTCATCATTTGGGAGACAAGAAAGGAAAATTCATGATATGATGGAAGTGTTTAAACAAGTAAAAATCAAACTTCATCTTCTAGATGCAATTAGGCAAATTCCACCGTATGCAAAGTTCTTGAAGGACTTGTGCACACAAAAGAGGAAGAGTAAGGGAAGGGACCCCAAGAAAGTGCTTTTAACAGAACAAGTGAGTTCCATTATTCTGTCTAACACTCCTCTTAAGTTCAAGGATCCAGGTGCTCTGACCATTTCTTGTGTTATTGGAAACCAAGAGATTCGTTGAGCTCTCCTTGATTTAGGTGCAAGTATCAATCTCATTCCATACTCCGTTTACTTGAAATTAGGATTAGGGGACTTGAATCCAACATCGGTAGTGATCCAACTAGCCGATAGATCAATTAAGAAACCGAGTGGAATTGTTGAGGACATTCTAATTAAGGTTGATAAATTTTATTTTCCAGTTGATTTTGTGGTGCTTAATACTGAGCCAGTCCCTAACTTACCAATCACATTCCAGTCATCCTATGAAGACCATTCCTTGCCACCGCCAATGCCACCATTAATTACAGA